GCCTAATAAATTATGGCAAATCTTATTATTATTGTATTATATTACAATTATGGCTAATAGAGGATACCAGAGAGATGTTTAGGAAGTCATTTGAACAAAACTAGGGAATACTGAATGGCTTAAAATCAAGGAAGGAGTCCGGTCTTCAGAACACAGTGGCTACAGCCACAGGCTCAAACATAACAGTAATTGTGAGGCTGGTGCAGGAGCAGGCAGCGCCTCGTACTGTTGTGCACAGTGTCACTGTGAGTTGGAACCAACTTGTCAGTCCCGAACAGCAATACACCAGTATTATTACGACCTGCTGCCAACTTGGGGCCCCGCCTCATGGTGACTCCATGCGTGTCAAAGTAGGTCTGTGCTCCACAACATTTCTAATAACGGATTTTTCAGAAGTAGATAACCAGTTCTTTCTTCTGAGAAGCCTCTGAACGGGTTAGCACCTGAGTGCATTAACCATTCACACCTCCCAGTCCTACTCCTTTATTACCCAAGGCTACTGAATTTATTTTGTTTGGATATGAAATGGAGGGGGCTAGGGCAGTTGTGATCAGAGCTACGACTCACCATACCATTAGAACTCATTATGTGGGGGACAATTATTCTTATTATTTGGATAGTGGCTGCCATTTGGGAAAACAATCAGGAATACATTTTAAAGTTGCTAGTAAAAATCATAAAACACACTGGACATTCACATTCGAAGACCAAGCAGTGATTCTCAAATTGGATCATCTTGGTGGAATGCTGTAATAGCAAATAACACTTAAGTAGTATTTATTATGTGAGAGGCATTGCTTTAAGTGTTTAATCCAAATTAACCAATTTAATCCTCATAATCATGAGATAGTAGGTGCCACTATTCATCCTGTTTTTACAAATCAAAAAACTGAAGCAGAAGTAGCTCACTGGAGGGCTAACCTTGTAAGAGGTGATCCCGGGTTGTGGGGGGCGGGGTGTACAACCTAAGCTAGCTGACTCCAGAGTCTGCACTTAATCAGAGATGGGTTACAATTTGCTATCCTGGATGGTGTTCAGGGCCATACCAGAAAGATAATAATATAAATACAAGAGAATTTTTTAAAGTATATAGTCTAATAGAAGCATAATTTTTTAAATTGTTCATGATGTTTTCTAAAACACTGCTATTATTTGTAGTAGAGATAGTTAAGGGACTTTGATTTGATGCCAGTCCCCCTCCACCCACCCCCCAATCAAGTCACACTTAATATGTGAGAAAGGACCCAAGGAATAATCATTAAATTAGGTACCTGCGAAGCAACATTTTTGGGCTGTGTCTGGTAGTCGACACTAAAAAGACATATATGTATGTTCTTTAAAAATAAGAAACAAAGTATTAGCATAAGTCTCCCTTTTGTTTGAAAAGTGTAGAAGGTAAGCCATACCTAGAAAGTGCCCCATGAACCTTTTCACAAGTACTGAGATGTAGAACACTTTGTATCTCTTCAAATTCTTTCTAATCTCAGATGTAGGAGCCCTGCTGGCGCAGTGGTCCAGCACTCACTCACTGCTAACACAAGGTCAGCCCTTTGAACTCACCAGCGGGTTCCTGAAAGAAAAAGCCTGCCACCTGCTCCTATAACGATTCCAGCTTCACACTCAACTCCAAACGCACTGCCACCAAGTTGCTTCCAACTCCAAGCGAGCCCATAGCGTGGAGTAGCACTGTCCCCCAGGGTGAACAAGGTCACAGAGAAAAAGGTGTGGCAGTCTGCTTCTGTGAAGGTTTACAGCCTCCAAAACATTAGGGAAACAGTTCTACTCTTTCCTCTGGGGTCACTATGAATTGCAATTTACTCAATAGCACACCAAGTCTATGATGCGGAGATTGAGCATCACAGTTTTATCAATGGAGCAAAATAGACCGAGGTTTTAATCCAAGCTTAGATTTGTTATCTCATTCAGTGTTTCTTTTTTTTTTTTTTAAAC